GCCAGTCGCTGGCATACGGTATTCAAACGATGGTGTACTACTTTAAAAAAGCTGGATTTGGTCAACTTTTTATATGGAACGACCAGGAGGACATTTCTTTAATTTTCTTAAATAACATTGATGAAGATTGTGAATTGATGTAAAAGTAAAGTAATAGCAAAGTAAATACAATAACTTCCAACTTCCACTCTTAACGATTATATTGAGCATGACAATGAAATGAAGCTTTCATACAGATGACGATAATATTGATTATTATATAGTTCTTCACATTGTAGTGGATCCGATTCTAAGCGCAACGCAAAGTGATGATGAGAGTTTGGGAGATGAAATTGCTCATCAGCCTTGAAAGAATGAAATAAAAGACTAATTCTAAATTCTAAATTTTTATTTGCAAATGAATAATACTACAACTGATAATCACTATAAGACTTTGAATAAATTAAAATTGGAATTTTCAATAAAAGAAGAAAAAATTAAAATTAAAATCCCAAAACCGAATTTCTGAATATTTTAAATAAATAAATAAATATCTTAACATGTGATGCTAATTTCTTACAAAAATAAAAAAAAAAAATTTTAAAAAATTCTCTAACTCGAAGTCTCCATAATTCGAACCTTTTCTTTGCAACATAGTACTGCGAGTTATGGAAGTTCGAGTATATGTATATTTTCTATTTCCAATCCGATTTTACACTAAGTAAATATGTTGTTGACAGAAAACAATCGGTTATAGAAGCGGCTGGCTCTTTATTCCAATGCTACTCATCATTTCAAACGACCAAGTGCATTTCATCCCTCCCACAAATAATTCAAAAACCAGCCTTACTTTGATGGTTTTCAGAGGAGTTGCAGCTACCACAACAACAATAATTATTCATAGGAAAACTTGGTCTCAGTTTTATTTTATTTAAATTATACTTAAATACTACTTGGTAGGTCTTAGAACCAAAAAATAAACGTTTATATGTATCTCAAAGAGATGCTTATTTATACAAAACGTTCTGACAAATGAAGTATTGCTATCTTTTTAATGTTGCAATTGCTTAGTCTTTCTACTAAGTTTCGAAGTAGCGTTGACCACATTATTGACTTGCAGTATTGTTCATCTACTCGTGGTGTTACTTTTAATATTTAGGAACCAATTAAATAATAAAAAATGTGTGTTAAATAAACACCTGTCAATGTGGAAAAAGTACTTAAACAAACAAGTGAGAAACATAATATTTAAAAGTAATGAAATGAATATTTTGAATCGATATTTAATGTTGGATAAAACGTGTATCTACCAGAATATATCGAATCGAAACAATAATGGGTCAAAAGAATAAAAGTCGGTGCAAATCGACTTTCTGAATCCAAATCGATCAAAAACGTAAATTTAAAAAGTAGAATTATGGTCTGTTTATTTTGGAATACCCACGGTATATTCTTGATAAAGAACATCAAAGACTTTTTTATATTGAATTATTGGTACGTTTGAAAAAAGAAACGCAAACAAAATGTCATTAAAAGCAGAAGAAGATAGTACTGATTTACCAAGACCATGAACGTTATTCATGAGATTCAACAGAATTCAACAGATTAACCCTTATCGGCTTCGATCTACTTGCAAATCTCATCAGGATGCACGTGAAACAATCATGTTTACAATAAAGTCATATCCTGTCTTTGTTTATAATAAATAATTGTATAATTAAACAATCAATTATTAGAAAAGGAAAAGAGAGCATATGCAGATATATAGAGTTCTTTAAAATAAAAGCATTGCTTAGGTAATTCTTTGTATAGAAACTTAATAATGTGTACTTAATAATGATTACAACCGGACCAATTTTTCTGGAGCGTATGTTGATTTTGTTGTAGTTCATCTTCCACCACCCCTGTTAAAACCTACTTCATTCACTTTGCTTGCAAACATTGAAACTCCAACTTAAATAAGGAGTCGTCGCAGACTAGTGACTTTCGGCGATAGATCTGGCAGCTACTGAGACTTTCTACTTTCCTACTTTCTACAACATTTATTGTCTTCTTTTTTCTTTCTCATAAACGTAAACCGTATTTTACAAATACCATTGGAAATTTATGATATTAATTTTTCACTTCACCTATTTATATCATCTTGTAGCAGTTCTTATTTTACAAATTATTTTAAAAAATATAATTTTCACTTGGTTTAAAATATTAAAGCTCTTTAATCAATATCCTATATGAGTCACAGTTTTCCTTTGTTTTGGTTTATTTTTTATATTCTTCGTAATATAATCAATGCTGCTGCTCCATTGAAGTGGTCGCAAGCAGACTTAATAGCTTTTTGCTTGGCTTACGCACAAAGGGGTTAACAGTTACTCTGACAGGTGCAACACATTTCCTTTGAGTAAATCAGCAGTTGGAATGCCACATTCATAAAATGACTTGAAACCGGCAAAAGCTTGATTCATTATGCAACGAACCCAGCACTTCAGCTTCCCTTGCAATTATTGTGCATGCAGGAGAATTTGCAATTGTTTTTATGCATCCATGTGGGACACTCATATAAGTACAAATCCCACGGATTTTTACAATGACTTTAAAATATTCTGAACACGTAAAGGACCGCATATTTAATGCTGCTATGAGTGCAAAACTAAATGTTGTAGTAAAAATTTTCAAGAGACACATTTATTTATTTTTTGCAGTAGTTTAAAAAATTATTGTAAATTTAGTGAAATTAAACAAAAAAACTTTTTCTTAATAAATCAAATTAATCAATTAAACTTATAACAAGTACTACTTTAATGGAAACTCTTAGAAATCTAACATTTCTTACATATCTCATCAGTTTTTAACAATTTATTAGCACCAAATAAGAACATGATCATCTGAAAATTACTTTCATGAAACGTCAATAAATAATAGATGTAGTAAAAAGAAATCCATTATGTATGGAAAATTGAAAGCTTATTTACCATAGTTAGAATAGAAGTCCTCGTCCCTATTAGCAAAAAAAATAGAGACAGTCCATTTGCGCAAGCATCTCGTGATACGAATTTTTCACCAGAAAAATCGTTCACCATGGACAGATCCAGATGATAACAACTTGGTGCTTAATCTGGTCTATAAGGTTGATGCATAAAAACTTCCCAACCAAGCTCCCTGGCCAGGTGTTATCCTGATACAACATAATTCTTCTTTTATTGCCCAAAGCTGGCCGCTTCTGGGCAATTGCTTCCTTCAGAATAATCCAATTGTACAATCGGAAGTATAGTTCCGAGTTAAGTTTTGCCATAGGGGAGCAGCCCATAAAAGATAATTCGCTACCAATCCCACCAAACACACATCAAAACCTACCTGGCTGTCAATCTTGACCTGTCCACCATTTTAGCCGGCTCACTGCAAGTCGACCAGGACCGTTCCTTATCCAATTTTCATCACCAGTCAACTGCTTCAGAAATGGATCGATTTTGTTGCGATTTAGCAACGATACGCAGATGAAAATTTGGTTCATAAAGTTTTTTGCGTTAACTCGTGTGGCACCAATACATCGAGCTTCTTTTTATATCCAGCCTTATTTAAATGGTTCCAAACGGTTTTTTACGTCATCTTTAGCTCTTTGGGAATCAAAACAGTGCTTATATGACGATCAGACTCGACAATTTACATGATTTTATCGACATTTTCGACAACTAACAGACTTTTAGTGCGTGGTGTATCTTTGGCGTCGAAATTACCGGAACAGAATCGACAAAACCAAAATTGCGGATAATTGGCTACAACAGTTAATACTGTCAGGACCATAAACACCATTCACTTTTACAGCTGCCTGGCTTGCGTTTTCGCCTTGATCAAAGAAAAACTGTAAAACACGACGTATTTTCTCTTTGTTAGTATCCATCTTTGACATGCTCTCAAACAAACAATTACCAAACTGTCTGTGGTTAGTACGAAATCTCCTCTTTTTTTGCCATTTAGCGTAACACAATCGGACTTAGACAACGCATGATAAAGATAACTAAAGCCATCTATTGGAAGTATAATGGATTTATTTTTACTACACCTAATATATTAAATTTAAAATAAAATGATAAAATTCCAAACGTTCAATAGAAAGGGCACAATTGCTTTCAATATTTAAAATTATATAAAATGTTATTGCGAGTCAATCTCAAATAATTACAAATATGAAACATCCACTTATGTAGATTTCATTATGTGAACAAAAATTTATGAATATTTATATACATACAATTTCCAACAAATTGTATATATCAGGGACATAGGCCAAATTCTTATCAACTATCATCAAAAAGTTTTTTATTACATGCCACATAGATTGATATTTATAAATAAAGTCACTGCACGCTACAACAATGCAGGCAATACTTTTTTATTTAATTATCAAGTGCTTTCAGTACCTACAGTCCCTAACTATATTACTTTTGTAGTTATTTTACTATCTACTGAATTGGTACTTATCACGTAGAAATCGGTTATTTTTAATATGTACTTTAACTGTAGTTCCACACAATATAACAACACACATCTTTTGTTTCACACTTATATACAAATTTTAGCCCAATTTTAAGCCTGACTTATTTACTTTTTTCTTATACTCTCTTACTATATTTGCTCTTCTTTGTTTCATACTCATTACCTTAACACGCCCGATCATAAATCCCACCATCCTTCCCTACACTTCCTACAACAATATAATTTAATATCATATACTGTAACAATATTGAAATGCACTATATACTTAGTCGAGCAGCCCTATATCTAATATATAATTTTATAATTACAATTTCTAAATAATACTTTAGTTTTTTCATACTTCATTAGTTCCTCTTTTTATATTTAATAAGTTAGTTTTAAGATAGTGCACTAAAAGTGTTCCCCTAAAACATCTCTTAAAACATTTAATGAACAGAACAAGTTTTTTTTTCTCACAAAAGTCATAGTAAATAAAAATAAAATCTTTATAATAAAAATAATACTCGTAGAGATAAGTAATAACTTAAATTTTAACCTACCTCTAATATAGGATTTCCCTTATTAAAAAGATTCGATTCAACTGTAAATTCTTTTGGAGCTTCTTTTCCAACAAATTTAAGCTAAAATATACATATGTAATAAAATAACAAAATAATCTATATAAAGAATCTAAAATGTTTACCTCCGCAGATCTTATCATATTATCAAAACTGCTTGGTTTCCAAGGAAATGGTTTAAGAAGTGCTTCTTCATTTTCATTGCCGGTAGAAATTGTGTTACCAATCAATGTTGTCTGAAATATTTCAAGTATAATATTAAACGATATCCGTATAAAGCGATTTTTCTTACATCAGCTATATCTCCTTTATTCGAAATAATGAAATCATCTGTATCAATTGCTTCGTCAAATGATACTTTAAAAGGTGATTCTTTTTCTTCAATTACCTGCAGAGCTCAAGAATATAAATTTAAGATCTTCACTTTTCACAAATAAAGGAAATGTTAACATACCTCAGATATAGGATCTCCTTTGTCCAAATGATTAAAATCATTTGCACATTGTTTTAAAGCCGTATTTATACCTCCTGTAGGTTCTTCTTGTTTAAGAGATTGAATCTAATATATATATTTTATAAATACAAAGATTGTATATAGTAGAGACAGAATGTGACTTTACCTCAGCATAATTTACTAACTCATTTAAATAACTTGACTCCTTCAATGATTCATTTAAAGAAAGAGTTTCTCCATCTAGTAACATTATCTGCAAAGTTCAAGATTTTGAATTGACAATCTAAAATTTTATGTCTTAAAGTAAGTATTACCATACCTCAGTTACAGAATCTCCTTTGTTTACAGCATTTAAATCAGCGATGATTTCTTTCGGATCTTCTTTTTCAATAGGTCGAATCTATTATATATGCTAATTAAAAAGAAAATTAATGTGAAGAAGCTAAGGTTACCTTATCAGAGTTTGTTGACATATCAAGATTACTTGCTTTGTCAAAAGATTCATTACAAGCAATTATTTTATTTTCATTGAGAATAGAAATTGCGTCATCAATTAATGTAATCTGAAATATTTTAATTACAGTAATTAAATTTATTTATATAGAGAAATTTTAACTACCTCAGTGACATCTTTTTCATTGAAATTAATAAAATCATCCATATCATTTGATTCGTCAATTGATGCATTAAATGGTAATTCTAGTTCTTCAATTAACTGCAGAGCTCAAGAATTTTAATTTAAGATCTAACTTACCACACATAAAGTGAATTTTAATATACCTCAGATATAGAATCTTCTTTGTTCAAAACATTAAAATCGGCTACACATTGTTTTAAAGATGACTTTATAGCTCCTGTAGGTGCTTCTTGTTTAAGAGATTCAATCTTATATAAATATTTAATTAAGTACAAAGATTTTATGTATTAAAGACAACATGTAACTTTACCTCAGCATAATTTATTAACTCATTTAAATCACTTGACTCTTTCAATGATTCATTTAAAGAAAGGGTTTCTCCATCTAGTAACATTTTCTGCAAAGTCCAAGATTTAAACTAACGATCTAAAATTTTTAGTCTTAAAGTAAGTATTACCCTACCTCAGAAAGAGAATCTCCTTTGTTTACATTTAAATCAGCAATGAATTCTTCCGGATCTTCTTTTTCAATAGGTCGAATCTATTATATATACCAATTATAAAAAAAATTATTGTATAAAAACTAAGGTTACCTTATCAGACTTTGTTGACATATCAAGATTACTTACTTCGTCAAAAGATTCATTACAAGCAATTATTTTATTTTCATTGAGAATAGAAATTGCATCATCAATTAATGTAATCTGAAATATTTTAATTACAGTAATTAAATTTAATTATATAGAGCAATTTTAACTACCTCAGTGACATCTTTTTCATTGAAATTAATAAAATCATCCATATCATTTGATTCGTCAATTGATGCATTAAATGGTAATTCTAGTTCTTCAATTAACTGCAGAGCTCAAGAATTTTAATTTAAGATCTTCACTTATCACACGTAATGTAAATTTTAACATACCTCAGATATAGAAACTCCTTTGTTCAAAACATTAAAATTGCCTACAAGTTCTTTCGGAGCTTCCACTTCAATAGATTGAACCTAGCATATACACTTATGAAGAAAGGAATTACCGATGTAAAAAAAGCAAAGATTACCTTAGCAGAGTGTTTTGATTCTTCAAAATAGCTTGGTTTATCGAAAGTTTTCACAAGGAGAATCTTCTCACTTTCATCCGGGATAAATTTTGTGTTATCAGCCCATAGAACCTGAAAATTTTATAAATAGTAGTGAAAGTACACACAAAGAAGTTTGACATACCTCAGAAATAAAGTCTTCCTTATTTGAAACATTTACATCATCTATAAATTGTCCCGGAGTCATTTTTAGATTTCCAATAAGAGTATCTGGTTTAACCGATGTACACTAAATTATATATTCTATTAAATAAGAAACTAATCGATGCAAAGAAAGTAAACTCTACCTCTGCAAAATACATTAAGTCATCAGACTTGTTTAGTTTGTCAAAAGATGCATTAACCAAGGAATCATGAACCAAGGAAGTTGAACTGTCATTGAATATTGTCTACAAATTAAATAAATATAAAAAAAATATACTGTGATAACAATGAATTTTAACCTACCTCAGATGTAGAATCTCCCAAAAAATCAGCTATGAGTTGATCAGGTGTTATATTTAAAGTTGTCATGGTAGTGTCCTAATTCGTTATAAGAATAATTACCGATAAATTCAACTTCTTATGTACTTTAAAGAATCGCATTCATAAAATTAGAATATATATTTTAAACTCTACCTTTAATGCAGATATCCTTTATCTTTTATTTGATATTTTCTAAATATTAAGTTGTTTCGGAAACGTGTTTTCACATTCATAACAATTTTAAAATTTAGATAAAATATTGTTAAAAACAAAATTTACTTCCACCTATATCCAACTTTTAAATTGAAACTGTAATCTTTTTTATCTGAGTCAACGTACTAAATCTTAACTGATTACTGTAGGGCTTTTCTTTTGTAAGCTTGTCGCAAAAAAAAACAACAAAATAAGCACTACTTTTTATAGCAACTCTGGAAGGTCCAGAAATTTTGTTAGGCTTATACCCCCATACATCGGTTTACGGCCGCCTCGTTTAACGGCCCAACCATATTTATGACCATGTTTCACTTAGCAGCCAAAAATACCTCGTTTAACGGCCAAAAAAAATTATATATTATAATTATGTTCATAATATTATTTTGCTTATATATAGTATATATGAGTGGCTTCAGAGGCTTCAGAGTAGCTCTGAATAAATATGTGTGTTGATGTGCAATTATTTAGATATGCATTATGTTTTTAATGGTCTCAAATTGTTAAAAGTTGTTTATACGCTATTAACTCATTACGAAATTGGAATTAGGAAAATACGGTTTAAAGAATGATTTCATACATACTTTTATCCAGAAGGTTAAATATATTTATAGAAGATCAAAGTATTTGTTTACGAAAGATATCACGGCTTTACTCCAGCTAATAGATCAAAGTTAGCACCTTACATACACTTCTAAAACGCATTGTCTACAAAAATTATTCGAATGCTCACACAAGTAACAGATAATTGAAAGTGCCGGAAAGGTTTCTGGAAAAGCTACAACGTTAAAGGTGCCATAGTAAACATAGATCGATCATGGAAGGAAATACAAACGTTATCTCTTAACAAATTTCACAAATCTTTATGGTCTGATCATGAATATAAATGATGATGTTGTTAAACCGGCAATAGAGGCTGGTTTTGTTGTTTACATTACAGATGACGTCAGCCAACTTTTAAAAAAGGGCAGAGAACTGCAAATTCCCTTCCCTAGCAATGCTTAGACGTTCCCAAAAAAGTTAATGAAGCTATGTAACCATATGCAAAAGTTATAAAAGAGCAACAAAAAAATCAAACAGGTAACATTACATTTGTTTTTTAAACAATCATGAAGATTATATATAGATTGTTTCTTCTTTCGGAACCAGTTTCATTATATACCATACATTTGTATGAAATCACTTGTTTCGTTTAATAGGATTTCGTTTTATGTCCAACTTTTTTGGAACAAGTTAAGGCCGTTAAACGAGGTATTTAATCATTATCATTATCAGAGAATATGCGGACTTGTTTGCGAACAGGCTGGATATCATCTTCATCACAAGAAGAAACTAGAAGAATACACTTCAATGTTCTAAATTTATATGTCCTGAAGCGCTTTCAACAAGTATAGCTTTAAAATCCAATATATAAAACAATATTTCTCTACCTCGAGCACGAAATAATTATTGAACCGATCATTAAATATTGCTGCTACCACCCAAGCTTTTGAGTTGGCCATCAAGTGCACCTGGAGTTTTTGAATATCTTTATATTTTAATGCACCTGGCCTTAGGAAAGAATGTACTTCGAGTGGTTTTAACATGAAATCTCCTGATGCATTACTACAAAGTATTAATGTTATACAACGCTTGCTGGTCTTTAAACCACTTGTCTTTTTCTCAGATTTGGCTATATAAGTCCGATCAGGAATTTGTTATCAAAATAACTGTCTCATCAGCATTGAACACTTGGTCAGGTAAATAGCCACCATCTTCGATCATATTAGCTAACTTCTTCGAAAAATCTTTAGCACCTGCTGTATCTACCAATGCAACCTCGTCCGTTATTTTCACATTATGTGGCGAATTCCATTTTAAAAACCCGACCAACCACTCTTCGCTGGATGAAAAACTTTTCGCAATTTGAGAAGTAGATGGCTTCAATTATCTCATATTTTCATAATAATGAAAAACTTTTCATTGAATTAAATAACCGCTTAAAGGAACTCTTTTTTGAAATAATTCTTTGAACTCTTCCCATTCATTTTTTCTAAAAAATCGTTTCTTGCAAATATGATAGCATGCTATTTAGTGTTGTTTTCTATTGCAGCCTCATAATTTTTAATTATTTTTATGGTTGATTTGGCTATATTAAAAGGCTTCCCAATAGCTGTTGATCCATCTGCTTTCGACAACCGACCCAAAAATATTAATTTTCATTTCTAAAAAAATGCCCTTCTTAGAATTTTTTTTCTCTATTAGGGTAAATCAAACCTCACTGTAATTATTATGATAATAATATCATTATAATCAATTCCGTATAAAACGAGACTTGGGTGTACTGTTTTAACCGACATTTTTCTTAATTTTATATTGTTTTTATCATTGTTTTCTAAAAAAAATTCAATTTTTGAAAAATGCACCCCAGTGCAGATTGTCTACTTTCTAGTATTATCAATATAAGCTTAAGTTCTATCTTCAACTGCAGTAATCTACAGTTTACTATCTAGTTGAATTTTATCTTTAAATATCTTATAACTTACCTTAGACAAGCTTATTACTTTATTGGAATCTTCTAACACATCATTTTCAGTTTCAATTTCTACAAGATTGTTGTCCTCTATCATTATATCTGATATATCTCCCCCGAAACATTCCCTTTCTTGGTTAGACATTATTTGCTACAATTATAATGTAGTTATTACAGTTACGAAAATTATAATGACTTACCTCAGAGTAATGCTCTTCATCTTTTAAATCCCTTTTAATTTCGATACAATTTCCTGAGGGAATATTAATAGCCCCGGTTTTTGTGTTTTCTTCAGTTAGTATAGTCTAGATGTTTGTAAATTAAATACTAATATTTTTATTAAATAATGGTTTGTACACTTACCACATCTAAAGAATTAACTTTAGATTGCACTGAAGACTTTTCATCTACCGACATAATTTAATTAGAACATAGGTCATAAGCCGAATTATCAATTTGCTGAAAATAAGAACACTGTTTTTTTATTGTTTTATGTACAATACAATCAAATGCTAGTCATGAGTGGTATTTTTAAAGTTCCTATTGCTTTAGGAACTTTAAAAGTAAAACTTTACTGTTAATTTTTCTCCATAGATATATAAGACAATTCCTGGATTTTTAATATAATTCCCACAATCTGAATGTTTCAGATAGACTACTAGTATACCGTTCCAATGTGAATATTTATGATAATGTGAATATTTACATTAATTATAACAAATTAATTAAAAGGAATCCCCAGAATAATTAAATAGTCAATTGTTTCGAATGTACTATGTAATGTCGCCAGTAATGTTTGAATTACAAGTGATTACTGGCGCCTAAATTAAGTCAGGTACAATTACAATAATGGTATATTTTAATATATCTGATCGTGAGTGTCAAGCATAAGACCGAACACTGCCTGCTCTAAAATAAATAATACATATTGAAAGATGTTTCTTACCACTATATGTAAAAATGTGATTGAGATAATATCAAAAAATTATAGTGTTTATAAAAGTGCTTATTCTATCACAATCATATAAAACATCTCTGTTACCGTCCAGTTACTCATCGAAATAACCAACTACTTGAAGCTTACTCAACTTATATCACTAACACAAGAAATGTGTTGGTATAAATAACATATATTCGTAATGAGAGGGGGTTCCTTAATACAAGTTCACAGCAATATTACGCCAAGGTGCGCGAGAAGGGAACTCACAATATTTTATATTTTTTTAAAATATTAATTTTATTTTAAAATTAACATATATGGACCTAAGAAGTGGAAATGAATTAAAAAAAAGATTTTTTCTTTGAAAAAAATCTACAATAGAAGATTTAGAAATGAGTAAAAAATGCATGCGCCTAATGATATCGTCATCGCGTCTTACTTCCGTTATATTTGCTCACGAATTATAACTAAAAGCAATAGGGAATTAGGTTAAAATAAACCCATAAAAATGTAATTTCCTAGTTGATGATATATTTAAAATAGCATATTTGCTTAACCAATTTAAAATTCATAAATTATATACACACGTTATATATAATATACTATATCAACTTTAATATCACGATGTTATTTCACAACTTCCGACGAATTTTACTTTTAAGAGACAATAGATTTTCTGAGTCAATTTTATTTCTTCAACAACTTTTAAACACCTCCATTCCCTTTTCTTTTTTTTTTTATTTTTTCACTAATTCTTACTTTACTTTTACTTTAACACTTGCCAATATTGCAAAAGATAATACTAAGCCCCAACTCCTATAACGACTTGTACCCGAAACGGTTGCGAAGAGACTAATTTTCCACCAGCGTTTTTTGCACTAGTTAAACACGTATATTATAATAAATGTAGTCATCTCTTTTCCACATATAACAACTTAAGTTAAAAGAGAATTTTATAGAAAAGGAACTTAAGTGGACTTAAGAATTACAATATTATACAACCGAACAAAATACCGTTGGTTTACGTCACAAGTGAAATAACCTGATTGCCAAGTCTTTATAAATTATTTCATTATTTTTCATTATGTAAAGATATATTTGAAATAAATTTTATAATGATTATTATTTAAAGAATAATTCCAGGTCAATTTTAAAAAAAGACCATAACTCTATAATATTTCTTTTATATGTTCTTAATTTTTGTTAATTTTGAAGAATTTACAACAATGTGTGGACTAACACTGATCCAAGCGCCCTATAAAAACGTAGTGTTATATTCTCTTTATAATATCACTGATCTCCAGTTTTCTACAGAAAAATAATACTTTTAATTTTAGTTCTTGCAGTTTAGTATTTCTAGACGTCTTTAATAATTTCAGTATTTTTTATTTATTCATTATTTTATAAATAATAAAAACTAAAATGTATATATACATAAACATACATATCTATTATTTTTTAATGCCTTTAGTAAGACAGGACCATGCAAGTATTTAAGAGAATATATTTTGGGAACATTTTTTTTTGCAGTCATATTTATTAAACATTATATGTACAATGTAAAGATTAAAGATTATCTGCTATGTATATACTATACATATGTTAAAATTAATTTTTTTTTTAAAATATTCCATATAAATGATGGATAATAAACTATCATTTTTGACTTATAAAATTTATTTTTATTTTGTTGCACAAGAGAAACTGGGAGCTGTCTTCCACAGAAGTTTACTGCAAAATAGTGCATGGTAGAAGGAACATTCTGCAGCAAGAAATTCTTATAATATAATAAGGTACTTACATGCGAACAATTACCAAAAACATTTTACCAAAATTTTAAGATTAATCAAATTTTTCCAGACATTCCAGATATATTCCAGACATTTAGAGAGTACTTAAATCGTTCGAAATGATTATTACCTATATATGATTATAATACTGAACAATTTTTCGCATTCGCTGAGTTTACAATTCAAATTTTTTCCATCAAATAAAAATTTATAAATTAATATTCAAGAATTCTATTCACTTACAATATCTTTACATCGACATAATCGGTGCCAATCATTTTTACAAAAGAAAGTATAAGGTCTATAGCCTTGATAATTTTTTTGAGTATATCCTTGATTTAAGGTTATGATTAAATTACAAAACAGACTTGTAATCAATCTATATTTGCATTATTTCGATTATTACGATTAACTTTTAGGCATATAATTAATTACAATATTATATTTAGATCACATCAAAGACTTATTCCAATTTTGATCAACTTTCAAATTAATTCTGTCTTTTAATATCCAAGCAAATAATCACTCTAGCATTCTCACTCTCAAAAAAAAAACTACTAAGTACCCTATAGAATTATTGTCGAAACTTTGGCAAAATTTATTTTTAATATTATTAACCATGTATTTACAAAGCCTGATACTTAACGTATTTAGATCCGCTATCTATATTGCAAGTAAATTTAGTATGACTAGCATTGCAGTCATAAATATATTTCTCTTTAAGTTCTTAGTTATAAATAATGTTTATTCAAATTGAGGGATCTGTAAAATTATGACTATACCTTTTTATAAATGCCATCATTATAAATAAATTGTATTAAACATTCAAAATCATGTATCGAAATATGAAGCAGGATATTTATTAATTTTTAAAAGTGAAAGGATGGAGTCCTATCCACAATTAATGTTGCATGAAATTACGAGTATGTATCCTTTTCTAGTGGCATATGCAATCAATTTATGGAATATTGGTAAATTTTGTGGTCATTTTTATCAAAGCAAAATTTTTCGTAATAGTAAATACTAAAAAAACAATATGTATAAGATTTCATCAAATATTGTATGTAAATTTAAACATATTTTATATTATATTCTGCAGATACATATGACTCTTCATCATCATTGTAATTTTTCAACAAAACAAATGTTGTTTGTTAATGACATTTTGTGGCTTTTAATTTTAAATTGTTTGTTTTATGCCTGCGGGATTCTTTTAATAATTATTTTAAAAATTTTGGATAAAATGTTTTGTTTAACATTTTCTTAACTGGATACAATTTTCATAAAGTTACTCTAAATTATTAAAAAGCTTCTAAATTATGCATTGCATCAAGATATTCAAAATGTTGATTTACCACCGAAATCACCTCTTCATTTAACTTGAATTTTTACCTTTCATGCAGGTCTTTAAAATTAAAATATGTTCATGGAAAGTTAAGCTTGGAATATGAAGGAAAATCAATTAAAACACAATTTATAAGCTTTTTTCTTACTAAAATCAATGAGTGGTTTTTCAGTTATTTGTGTGTTTCATTTATTTAGTATGCGCCAGATACTGTACGCCTTATACGATATTGCTTATACGATATTCTATCTGCTATTGCTTTTGGGAGAATAGTCCTTGCTTTATACTAAGAAGCCGTTCACACTTTTTTAAATCACTGTTTCGATTATGTTATGGTCAGAGAAATGTAGTGATCAGTCTACGTTTTATCAGACGCTATAAATCAAAAATTATAACAAAATTCTATTAAGTCTAATGTTAGTAAACACAGCATCTAACTTTTAAAAAGATTTATCATATTTAAATATTTATGCAATCAACTTCAAATGCTGTCACTTAAAACACCGATAGAATAAAGAAACTGTATAATATTTAAGGATTATGCTTCTAGAATAGTCTTAATCAAGTAAGATCGTACTATCATATATCAAATCACCAAACCATCATTTTACTATACCATAAATTTAATTGCTTTAGTTGCTTCTGAAGGCCGACTTGTAAGGCCGATAGAAAATAATCAGCTGAACAGCTGATTAGTTTCACGGTTGCATTTCAAAGCATTGTACATAAAATTATAAAGTTTGTACATTCAGAGCTTCGAACCGGAATCGAACCGAAAACCGAAAAAAAACCGATATTTTTGCTGCAACTAATACGGTAACCGAACCGAAAAAATATATCGGTTTATTTAGGTTTAGCGCCTTATGGTTTGGTATATGTTCAATCACGAGAATTTCCCTTAAATTGTTGATTATTTATTTATTTTTTTTTAATATACTATAATAGTCTCAAATTATGCCTTAAATAAGAAATAATTGTTTAAAACATATCTAAATTAATCATTTAATTTAGAATTAAAACTCAACAGACTATTGAACTGAAATAAGATATAATTTATTAACAAGAATATATATACTTAAATTATTGATAATTGACCATTTTTTATAGTTCTAGTTATTAATTTTACAAACTTTTCAATCGTGAATAATATGTTCCTGTTTTAGGGCCATTTCTCATACCTGTATGCCTACGATGCTTTTCAAGCAGTAACTTTTTTGATTAAATAATGCAAACTGTAAGTACCCGTAATTACAATTATTGTATAGCTCGTCTTAATATTTTATGATGGAACTGATCAAATCAAATCAAGAAACTAATCCACATTTTTTCAAAGTTAGTCAAAGGAAGTAATCATATAAATGTAGAGATACTATAACGTTGTTACAGAAATTAGCACTATATAGCATATTAATATGCTATATATTGTACTTACCAGAATTATCATGTTTTCTGCATATAAAAATACATATATCACATATATATATTCCATCGGATAAATACTTAACTACGTGATCAATATAAAGTACAACTAAAAGCAGACTAAGCAATCTTTCCCATTTCATACCAGCATTGATGGTAATCATCATGGACATAACCAGAAGCAAAATAAGGAAGCGGAGGGCGTAGATACATGAGTATGTATGAGTAGTTTGAGTTCTTTATTTTTCCTTAGATTAATAGAATGAAAAGTTTTCAAGTTTTTGGTGGAATTATGAAAACATATTAACTACGGCTTTGGTGACCGTGATGCCATTTCTACTGCATTCCATGTGGGCGTCGGATTTTCAGAGTAAACACTACTTGAGATTTTATTAAATTATGAAACATTTCTGTTTATGGAGTCAAAATCCGCTTTGAAGTCGACAAAAAATACATTCAACTTTTTTTTTTCATTTTTCACAAAATATTTGGTTACATTTGTAATAGAAAAAGTGTAAGCAATAGTGAAATATAATTTTTAGAAGCCTACCTAATATTTACTCCATAAAATATGAACTGATACCCAACTTTGAACTTTAAGCTTTCGAGGAATATTCCTGTGAAAAATTCAACAGCAGAGTTTAGAAAAATATATACTTTGATAGTTATTTGGATCTTGTGGATTTTTCGACCAAGCATATATGATCGTGACACTACAGCCTTCAGTACCTGCGACGATTTTAAAAATTTGTCGATCTCTATGAAGATATTGCCTTCGTCCGGTGTTAGTTGGACTTAGTTTTTAAAAATGAACTATTCTGCCAATCAAAATACGTCATGCAAAATACTTTCTGAATGTAAATTCTCCATCGATTAATTTTAATTTGAAATACGCTTTACAAATAAGAATAAAATATCAAAGGAGCAAATATAGTTGTAAAATTGAGTTTACATACTTTTATTATTTAAACTAAATAATTTATATTAATATGCTATATAGTGCTAATTTCTGTAACAACGTTATAGTATTTCTACATTTATATGAGTATTTCCTTTGACTAACTTTGAAAAAAATGTGGATTAGTTTCTTGATTTGATTTAATTAGTTCCATCGATTTTTTCCTTTAGATGAATAAAGTTAGTAAATACTATATACTAGGTGGTTTGATAAATATCCGGTCTAAGTAATAAAAACATATTTTTTTGGAAAATTATATTTTATGCTTCTATATAGTTCTCTTTTAACCCGATACACCGAGTCCAACGTGCTTTCAACATTTAGATACCTTTTAA